CACGGTGGTGTCCTTCAATTCTGAGCGAGTAGCTGAAGGCGGGCGCAGTCCACAGAGGAGGAGGTTGGTGGTGCTCAGCAGGCACTGCGAGTCTGTTCTCAAATGGTCTCCCTAACATCATATCTTCTCTGTCAACATCTTCTCCCACGCTGGCGTTTCCCAGGGTTTCCACTCTTCCACGTGCCTCCTTTCCCTTAATGCTGCCCTTCCTGTTGGTGACCAAAGCAAAGATAGCCACAGGAGTATGTTTTGTTACCTCCACTCCCGAGACCTCTGGAGAGAGTCACCGCCGCCACCTCTGCTGCCTTTGCTGATCTCCTCAACCGTTCAGCGATGCATTCTGGGGCTTGTCCCTCAAATGCAGGGTCAGCTCATCCCATGCCTTCTTCTCTTGGTTGTGTTCTCACCACGTGATTTCCCTCCGGTTCTGCACACAGGCCTCACCGGGTCCACCGTGGGCCTTGATACCCACAGTCCCTCTCCCTGTCCCCTTGCAGCTCCCCCTTCACCTGACTCCTACTCACTCCCAAGTCCCCGGCCAAAACATCACATCCTCAAAGGAGCCTTCTCCAACCCCTGAAAAGTATACTGTATATACACGTGTATAAGCCGAGGTTTTCCTGCACACTTTTAATGCAGTGTTTGTGGTAAAATTCGGTGCCTCGGCTGATATTCGGGCCGGCGTATACTCGAGGATATACGGTACTTTCCGAGGTTCTTTAGGCTGTTCTTTCATGGTTCTCACTATTATTTTGCAGTCTCTGTGTGGTCGTGATTCTGACCCACACTTGGTGCTGAAAACGCAGAAAGCCTCAGAGACCCCGTGGAAGGCAGGTAACTGTGATGCGGACCCGATGGCAGTGGGTCCAGGCTTGGTGTGGTGCAGATGTCCACACGGTCTGTTGCCAACCCGAAGGCTGAGGGCTGGGCCTACACACAGCATGGGAGCTCCTAACTTCTGACACCATCATAGAGGCACGTTTAGGCGTCACATTTCCAACTGTCCAAGACGGGTGAAAGCTGGATTTATAAAGATAGTGATAACAAAAGCAATAACGAAAATTAAAAAAAAGAAAAAGCAAGTATTCGTTTTCCGTTAGAACCGACAGTCACTGGGATGGAACCCCGTCATAAGCTGGGGCTACCTGTTGTCTGTGAGCTTCTGTTCTTGAGGGCTGGGGCCAGCCCCCTGTGTGTGTCCAGCACTCAGGTTCTGAAGAAGGTAACCAGTACCTACAGGGATCCAGTACACTCGGACTCCCAGTGATGCTACACACAAAGCAGAACTTCCCCCTGGGGTTTCCAAGGCTGTAGGTCTTTTGGAAGCAGAAAGCCGCCTCTTTCTCCCGTGGAGCAACTGGGGGATTTGAACTGCTGACTTGTGGTTAACAGGTCAGTAAGTATGCCACCGCGGCTCCCTAGGTCACGTGCAGTCTCAATGAATGCCGTCTGCTCACATTATTAACATTGAAGTAGTTACGCACAGCAGTGTGCCCTTCTAAAGTAGAGGACATGGAAAGACAAAGGGCTAATGGCTCCAAATCACCCAGTGCATTCATGAAGAAACCGGCCTTGCAGATGGCCGGGCACTCTCATTTTTTACCAAGGACACTGGTGCGTCATTTGGTAGACTGGTCAGATAAAATGGTCTTAGCCCCACCTTCCTGGTCCTGGTCAAGATCTCTGTTCTTTTGATCTTATAACTTAAGATCTAATAACCCAAAATCAAATTCCCTGTCATTGAGCCGATACTCAGAGTGACCCTGTAGGACGGAGTAGAACTGCCCCTATGGGTTTCCCACACTGTTAACTCTTTACAGGAGTAGAAAGCTTCATCTTTCACCCTAGGAGGCCTGGTGGGTTCAAACTGCCGACTTTGCAGGTGGCAGTCCAATTCACCGCCACCAGTACGCCACCAGGGCTCCTGGTAGATAAGGCCTTGTAGGTAACACTATTTCCCTTTATTATTCTGGAAAACTATGTTCTTCCACCTGAACTTCCTAGATGGTGACACAGGGATGAAGCACTTGAATTCCAACTGACTTGGTTGGTGGTTCAAACGTACCAGCTGCTCCCTGGGAGAATGACATGCCAGCCTGCTTCTGTAGAGATTTTTAGCCTCGGAAAACCAGAAGGGGCTCTGAGAACAGAGACTCTGTTCGACAGTCACTGTCAGTCGGACATGACTTGATGATAGTGGGTTGGTTGGTTGGTTGTTGCTTTTTAATTGCAAAGAAGAGGCTTTGCGTCCTCTGAGTCTCTTGGCTCCCATAGCAGCTCCAGGACCCGAGCAGGGTACATTCTGAGTAAATAGACAGGGATCATTATCAGGAGTCTGGCAAAGGCTCCATCCGACTCCCAAGTTAAATTCACCGGCTCCGTGCATACCTGCGCCCCAGCCAAGAGCAAGAAGACCACGCCTGGGTTTGGGAAGAGTTATAACTGTTCCAATTTGCACTTGTTGGCTGTCTTCCTAGTGGCTCTGTCTAACTTCTGGCTGAGAGCCAAGCCTTGCAGGGTCTTCAATACCATGGGTAATTTCATTAGTCGCTGATGGCTAATTAGGAGTGATTACAGTTAAGAGGATTTACTTTCTTACTAACCCTCAGAAAGGGTTGGTGGCAAATTTTTCCTTTTTTTCCCCCTCTCCCGCAAATGTATTCTTCTGATTCTCCTGAAATAGGCCTTTCCATAATTCCTGGTCGTTTATCACTCTCACTTCCTAGTGAGAAGAACATGCAGTCCTGGGGAAGAATGTAGAAACCAGTGATTTGGGCAAACTCTGCCTTTATTGGTGTGGACTCCAGGGCACACCTTGAAACCTGGCTTGCTTTGTTTGTCTTTCCCTGCGGTGAGATTGCCGGGGTGGGCAGGGGGCTGGGGGGAGTCGGGGTTAGGTCAGGTCTGTTTTCTACCTGAATTCCATTGCCATCCAACCAACCCTCCCAAATGAGCCCTTTCAGTGGCTGTTTATAGCCAGCCCTTGAAACCGGGCTTCCTTGATAGTGTCGGGCAATTCTGTTTATTGAGGGCTCTCGAGTAGAGACATCTTTGCTCTGCGAGAACACATTGCAGAGGGGCCCTGGGAAGGCGATGGGTGAGTGCTTGTCTGTTAACCGGAAGGCTGACTGGTGGAACTCGTCCAATAGCTCTGCGGGAGAAAGGCCTGGCCATCCGCTCCAGGAAAGAGTACAGCCCGGGGAATTCTGTGCTGCTTTTCTATCATGTCACACGGGGTTGGACGAGTTGAAATGGACCCAGTAGCATCAAAGAGCAAGAGCCCACTTCAGGCGTTGCCTGACCTCCTCTTACGTCAGGGCCATCAGAGCGGCCATCGGCTGAGCCACTGGCACGGGGTTCAGCAAGTCACACAGCATCCATTGACTGCTCACGTCTCCTTGCCGTCGCGTTTGTTAAGGCAGCATTTTTAAAGCAACCTCGTGGACTCTTCAGCCACATCCTACACATTGTAATCATGTAAAGGGTTTTTGGTACCTTTGCAAGATTGTGCAGGCATCCCCACGGTCCAATGTGAAAACATTTGGTTACCCCAGGAAGAACCCCTGGATCAGCGGTTCTCAACCTGTGGGTCATGACCCCCTTGGGGGTCAAACGACCCTTTCATAGGGGTCATCCGATTCATAATAGTAGCAAAATGACAGTGATGAAGTAGCAATGAAAATAATTTCATGGGTGGGGGTCCCCACCACATGAGGAACTGTATGAAAGGGTTGCAGCATGAGGATGGTTGAGAACCACTGCCCTAGATTCCGTCATTGCCCCTTGCTGACTCCTAGTCCCTCACAACTGCCATCGAGGAGTTCTGACTAGTGACCTCATAGGACAGAGTCGAAATGCCCTGCTGGATTCCAAGGTGATTATGTCTGTATGGAAGTAGATCGCTTCCTTTCTCTGAAGGAGCGGCTGGTGGTTTCAAACTGCTGACCTTGCGTTTAGCAACCCAACTCTGCCGCCAAGGCTCATACAACCACTGATGTGTTTGTCTCTGTAGATGTGTCTCTTCTGGACATTCACTGGAAATAGATCAAACAGCATATGGTCTCTTGTGTCTGGTTTCTTAGCGTGACGTTTCCGCTCTATCCTTGCCGTAGCGCTGCTGGATTCCTTTGCATTGTGAAGCAGTGTTTCAACCCTCACTGTATAAGGTGGTGTAGTGGTTGCATGTTAGGCTGCAATTCGAAAGCTCAGCAGTTTGAAACCACCAGCCGCCCCTCGGAAGAAAGACAGGACTTTCTACTCTCATGAAGAGTTACAGGCTTGGAGACTCCTGGGAGCAGTACTCTAGGGTCACTGTGAGCCAGCATCGACTCAGTGGCAATGAGTCTGGCTTTGGTATGAGAGCCCTGGTAGCACGGTCAAGGAAGTGCTGGATTGATGACCGCGTGACAGGGCGTTCAAACCCACTAGCCGCCCCACAGAAGAATGATGAAGGTGTCTGCTTACCTTGGAGACCCTATAGAGGGTCACTGTTCATCTGAATGGGCCTGATGAGGTGGTCTGGCTTGGCGTGACTGGGGAAACAAGACCCAGAGAGGTGAAACCTCTCTTGTGGTCAAGTGGCCTACAATCGATGGAGCTGCCTTTCTAATGTCCATTTGTGTAATGCCAACCCCACCATTAGCTCAGAATCGGAGGTCACCCTCAGATTGAAAGTTGATTACACAACTTCTGTAGATCAGACCCTGAGCCACTGCCAGGTGTTACATAAAGTATTACCTCTGTTCATACACTCTAACTGGGTGAGCCGAGTGACCACAAATAAATGCCTTCCCTTTGCCCGTTTCTGGTTTCGTTGGCCCACTTAGGCTCCCCAGGGAGCTACCCATGTGTCTTCAGTGTCTAGAACCTTCCCGAGTCAATGATGCTGAAGATAACCCTGTGGTTCTCTCGGTAGGAGCTGAGCACCGTGCAGGTCTGCAGAGATCCCAGCTCATCTCTGAGGAGCGAGCCCTCGTTGTTCCCGGAACTGCCAGCGTCATGAGCTCTCCTTCCATGGCGTCTCTCAGGTGAGCGGAGAACCTGGAAACCAGAAAAGACGAGAATGGGAAATTGAAAATTTGTTTTTTCTTACACCAGCTGCCTTTCAGTGTTTACCTCTCTTTGGCATCATGCGTCCACGTAGGTAACGGATTGCTGTCCGTGGAGCCCTCTAGAAAAGTTGGACGCTGAGGTGGGAGGTGCTTGCTCTGAGTCCCACATGCCTGGGTGCCAGTCTTCGCCCCGTGGCTTGCTGGGAGACTTTCTCTAGGCCTCAGGCAAGTTTCTTAAGTAAAGGTGCGATTAGATCTGTGGATATTTACCATGGCCGCACAAAGATTATCCAACGGATTGAAAGAGAGATTGTCCTCTGATCTAGCTCTACAGATTCCGACTTAATCGAACTGGTCTTGTCCCTTTTGCAAACTCTCTGGTTTCTTTTGCTGGAAAAGCCAGTGATCTTTCACCTCTATTTTCAGTTTGATCAGCAGTTGGAGGGAAGTGAGTGGTGCTGTGAGTTGTGGTCAAGTTGGTCTTTGAGTCCCTCACAGTGGCCCCACGGGCAATGCTTGTGGTCAGGCCACGGCCGCTCCCCATCACTGGCTGTGGGATGGATCATCATGGCCGGTAGGGATGTCATGACTAAGTTTAAGAAGTGGATCGCCAGGCTTTCCCACTCTGTTGTGTCCTGGAAGCTCCTATTTAGCAACCTAACAACACAAACTCCTCCACAGACGTGTGGTAGCTCTGCTTGAAGTACATTGGTTGGGAATTGAACCCACTTCTCCGGTGTGGAGCCACCACCGCACTGCTGTCCCTAGTGTGTGGATCAGAACTGCTATGCTCCTCCATGCAGTCTTGGGCACCACATGCCTTTACCTGCAGAGTTGGGATCAGGACTCTAAGCACTTGTACTTTGTGTTACGGAGGTGATTTTTGAGCTTTTAGTGTTAAGTTGACAGGCTCTTCGAAAAATATTTCTTCCCAATCAAAATCCTATGTAAAATTTTAATACATAGAAACAGAATGGCAGTATTTTATCACGTAAATTTATTTATTTCCGTGGTACAATATATATGCCAAAGCATTTGCCTCTCCAGCCATTGTTATGTGGGCATCTCCCAAAAATGCAGCACACTGTCTTTGAGTGGATGCTGACTCATAGACCCTACAGGACCGAGGCGAACGGCCCCTGTGAGTTCCCAAGACGATCACTCATTAGAAACACAAAAGGTCTCATCTTTCTCCCTCAGGGTGGCTGGTGGTTTCGAGCTGCCGGCCTTGCAGTTAGCAGTTCCACATACAATCACCACGCGTTCTACCCACCAGGCTGTGGCACGGCCATCACCGTCATAGCCGCACATTATGAGAACCATGAACCGGGTCTGACCAACACCACAATCGGGATTTATGCTTGAGAGCTTACGCGTCAGCCTCTGTATCTCGATTTGTTTGTTTGCGTGGTGTCAGCACGGTTATTCAGTAAACCCCGATCCATCTGGGCGCCCAGTTGCCCATGGTAGCCGTTCTTGAATGCAGCTCATGCAATCTTAGAGTAGTCTTTAGGGGACGCGATGCAGAAGCCGGAGAGAGGAGAAAAGAGAATTTTGAGGAGGTTTTTATTGCTTCATCTTGGTTGCAAGGTTGAATCGTTAAGAAGGTAGAATCAGCTAAGAATAGCCTGTAGGTTTTTGTTGCTGTTGTTTTCATGACTACGGGGACCCCCAAGTGCCTAGACTCTCCAGTGAAAGGTCGGCTGCTCTGTAATACGTTATCATGGTGCTGCGTCACGTGGCTGCTTGTAAGCATGGCTGGACCATTTGCCAAGCACATGCTTTTGGGCCCAGGCCTGGCATTTGTTTAATTGAGTGTAAGGCATGCGCGTGAGCTTTAGTGTGTAGTTGCTTGTATAATTTTACGTGAGCAGACATGTGCAGGCACGCGTGATCCAAGCCCTTAGCCTCAGTGATATATTCACGAGCGTGCCTGATAAGTCAAAGAAGGCAGGGGGAGCTCCAGGCAGAGGCCCGCGCAAAATCTGGCCCATGATTGTCTGTAGGGAAGCCCACTTTAACGTGTGGTGGCTTCTTCCAGCGTTACTAGACATTAGCATGTGTACATTTTTTTGAAACCCTAGTTTAAAAAAGAGTTGAAGAGATTTTTTTTAGATAGGAAATTTGCACCCCATTTGCGGAATCTCTAAAATGTCATGGTAGAACTATAAATCAAACTCACTGCCATGGAGTCCCTGCCAACTCATAGCCACCCTCTAGGACAGGGTAGAACTGCCCGTGAGTCTTTTTGAGATTCTTTACTGGAGTAGAAACCCCTGTCCTCCTACAGAGCAACTGGCGGTTTTGAACTGCTGACCTTGTGGTGGGCAGGTCAACTGGTAACCACTGCATTAGAGGGTAGGGAGAAATATGCCTGGAGCCCTGGGCTACTTGGGAGCATCGCAAATTGGAGCCAGGAGGCGCTGTGTCTGGAGAGCAGAGAGGTGAAGATCAGAGTCGGGTTTTAAACTAGATCAGAAAGGACAGGGGGTGAGCAAAGGTGCGCTCAGCCTGTGATTCGCAGGTGTGAGTCTGGCTGCTTCCAGAAAGGTTCCATGCGGAATCTGAGGATCTTCAAATACGGGGCCACCCAGGCTGCACAGGAAGGGCATTTCTCAGGAGACGGTCCTTTTGCAAAGTCTCTTCTTGATGTCCTATAATTGGAATTCATGTCTCTGTAAACATTTACTGATTTGAGCATGTTGTGTGGTACGGCCGTCTTCTTCCCTAGAGGGAGGCTGATGGGTTCAGCTGCAAGCTGAGCATGTTTCAGAGACATTGCCTGTGGATTTGAAAAGCACGGGGCGGGAATCACTGGAAAACTGGGTGGCGGGGCTACCCTAGTGGTGGTTCTTTAGAAGTCTAGATAGGTCTCCGCCTTTATTGCTCAGCAGGGTCTTGGTCCCAGAGGGTTCCGGGATGGAGCGTGTGAGCCATGAGGATAGGTTCTCAGGGAGATCTTTCCATTCAGTTTTCTTCTTCATAAACTCAAAACAATTCAATAAAACCAAATCCATTGCCACTGAGTTAACTCTCCAACTCTTAGCGACCCTATAGGACAGGGTAGAATCACCCTTGTGGGTTTCCAAGACTGTAAGTCTTTACAACAGACCAGCGTCTGCTGGCCTGGTAGGTAGCAGCCGGTGTGTAAGCACTATGCCCCCAGGGATCCCTCTTCATCAACTAGTTCTCCAGTAATCAGCTGTATTATTATTATTATTATTATTATTATTATTATTAACAGTTGTCATAGACTTAATTCCAGATCATGACAACTCCGTGTGTGTCAGAGTGGAAGTGTGCTCTGCAGAGTTTATTGGGCTGCTAACCAGGAGGTCAGCAGTTTGAAACTACTAGCTGCTGTGAAGGAGCAAGATGAGGCTCTCTACTGCCATAAAGACTCAAAAAATCATATCATTGTGAATGAGGGGGAGTGCGGAGTGGAGGGACCCAAAGCCAATCTGTAGACAACTGGACAGCCTCTTACTGAAGGGTCGCTGGGAGGAGACGAGCCAGTCAGGGTGCAGTGTAGCAACGATGAAACATACAACTTTACTCTAGTTCCTAAATGCTCCCTCCCCACTATCATGATCCCAGTTTTACCTTACAAATCTGGCTAGACCAGAGGATGTGCACTGGTACAGATAGGAACTGGACACACAGGGAATCCAGGACAGATGATCCCTTCAGGACCAGTGGTGAGAGTGGTGATACCAGGAGGGGAAGGGGAAGGTGGGATAGAAAGGGGGACTGATTACAAGGCTCTACATATAACCCCCTCCCTCGGAGATGCTGGACAGTGTAAGACATGACAAAATAATAATTTATAAATTATTAAGGGTTCATGAGAGAGTTGGGGGAGGGAGGGGGGAAACGAGGAGCTGGTATCAAGGGCTCAAGTCGAAAGCAAATGTTTTGAGAATGATGATGGCAACAAATGTACAAATGTGCTTGACACAATGGATGGATGGATGGATTGTGATAAGAGTTTTATGAGCCCTCAATAAAATGATTTAAAAAAAGTAAAGAGTGAAAAAATACTGCTTGATGGGATTGAACTATGGTATTTTTTTGAACTATGCTATGTTATGATATATGTATTAACTCCCAATAAATAATAAATTAAAAACAATGGAATCCCAGAGGGCTGTTCTACACTGCCCTCTAGGGCGACCACGAGTCAGAATTGACTCAATGGCAGTGAATGGTTTTTGTTTTTTAAGTACATTACTGTTGACTAACTCAGTGGTTCTCAACCTGTGGGTCGTGACCCCTTTGGGGGTCGAACGGCCCTTTCACAGGGGTGGCCTGATTCATAACAGTAGCAAAATGACAGTGATGAAGGAGCAAAGAAAGTACTTTTGTGGTTGGGGGGTCACCACCACATGAGGAACTGCATGAAAGGGTCGCGGCGTGAGGAAGGTTGAGCACCACTGCTCTACCTGCACCGGCCAAGGACTGCCAGTTTTTAAATTGATTTTTCTTTCAGTGCCATGCAGCTATAACAACCTGAAAAACAAAACTCAGGGTGTCCCTTATTTAAATGCTTGTGAACATGTTCTGAGGGAAGGGGTTATGGTTACTTTTAAGAATAGTGGGTCTTCGCCAAAATTGGTAGGTGAGAAACACACAAAAATGTAAGTTTGAAAATACCTATTTATCAAAGAAACCAAAGGCATCAAGATCGATGGGAAATGCTGAAGGATTTCTTTATTTATAGAGAACCAGTCAAAGTCGCTTTTATCAAGTCTATTCCGTCTCACCTGGACCCCACGGAGAGGGCCGGTTACAAGTCCAAGTGAGCTGCTAAGGATATTGCCTGGCGGAAAGGGCGTTCAAGGGCACTCACAATTCTGAGACCCAGAGCTTTCGTTTCCAAATCCCTCCTCAGGCCACTGAAAAAAGCAGAAAGCCGGCTTCTGCGTGTCATGGAGAGAAACACGGAAGCCCCTGGGGTAGTAAGCATATCTCTGCTC